CATTGTCAAGGTCAATGTGTGTTTATGGTTCCTGATCACACACCCATCTACATGTGACCGTAAAGTGACAAGACCGGCTTGACTGTGTCCTGTAAATGGGCTCAGAGGATTGTTCTGAAAGGGGTGTCTGTGTGTGGGGTGGCTGGCAGCGGCCTGCACGGAGCCCAGGCTCATTCAGGAACTTCCTAAACGATGGTCTGGGCTGAACCCTGGGGCTGTTGGTGGAGTCCAGCATCCTCTCCAAAGGCTCGAGAGGTTTCTTATTCCCTGGACCCTAGATCCAGGTGGCGACCTCCTTGCTGCTGTCCTGGCTTTCTTGCCCTCCCTGCTCCATCTTCCTCCCAGAAACCCCCATGGCCCCCACTGCCTGCAGAGCCCTGAGACCCTGCCCATTCGCTCAGTCCCACATGCTCACTCAAGCAGATACAGGTGCAGGACGGCAGACGTGAACCATGTTCGTCAGCATGTTGACTGCGCATGTGGTCTCTGAGTGATGGGATTACTGGTGAGCTTTAGGTTTCCTTTTTCCAGATTGTCTTCAGTGACTGTGTATGTGCTACTTTTGAAATAGAGGGGATTTTTTTTGTTTTTGTTTTTGAGATAGGGTCTTGCTCTGTTGCCCAGGCTAGAGTGCAGTGGCACGATCATAGCTCACTACAGCCTCTGCCTCCTGGGCTCAAGTGATCTTCCCACCTCAACCTCCTGGGTAGCTGGGACCACAGCGTATGCCACCACACTGGGCTAATGGAAATTTATTTATTTATTTATTTATTTATTTATTTATTTATTTATTTTTGAGACGGAGTCTCGCTCTGTCGCCCAGGCTGGAGTGCAGTGGCCGGATCTCAGCTCACTGCAAGCTCCGCCTCCCGGGTTCACGCCATTCTCCGGCCTCAGCCTCCCGAGTAGCTGGGACTACAGGCGCCCGCCACCTCGCCCAGCTAGTTTTTTGTATTTCTTAATAGAGATGGGGTTTCACCGTGTTAGCCAGGATAGTCTCGATCTCCTGACCTCGTGATCCGCCCGTCTCGGCCTCCCAAAGTGCTGGGATTACCTGGTGATAGTCTCGACCCTGACCTCGTGATCTCGCCCGCCTCGGCCTCCCAAAGTGCTGGGATTACAGGCTTGAGCCACCGCCCGCCGGAAATTTATTTTTAAAAAAATAGCTGACAGTTGATTTTTTTTTTTTTCCCGAGATGGAGTCTTGCTCTGTTGCCCAGGCTGGAGTGCAGTGGCGTGTCTTGGCTCACTGCAGCCTCTGCCTCCCGGCTGAAGCGATTCTCCTGCCTCAGCCTCCCAGTAGCTGGGATTACAGTCACCTGCCACTACGCCTGGCTAATTTTTTGTACTGACCTCGTGATCCGCCCGTCTCGGCCTCCCAAAGTGCTGGGATTACAGGCTTGAGCCACCGCGCCCGGCCGGAAATTTATTTTTAAAAAATAGCTGACACAGTTGATTTTTTTTTTTTTTCCCGAGATGGAGTCTTGCTCTGTTGCCCAGGCTGGAGTGCAGTGGCGTGGTCTCGGCTCACTGCAGCCTCTGCCTCCCGGCTGAAGCGATTCTCCTGCCTCAGCCTCCCAGTAGCTGGGATTACAGTCACCTGCCACTACGCCTGGCTAATTTTTTGTACTTTTAGTAGAGATAGGGTTTCACCATGTGTTGGCCAGGCTGGTCTCGAACTCCTGGTGATCTGCCTGCCTTGGCCTCTCAGAGTGCTGGGATCATAGGCATGAGCCACCGTGCCCAGCCTCCAGCTGAAATTTTAATCTGCAAGCCCATGACATTTTGTCCTCTGTCCCAACCTGCTCCATAATCCCTGACTTCCACGCTTGGGTCAGCTGCCACTGGGCTTCCTGGGGATTATATTTTATTTTCTTCGTATCTCATTCTGTTCGTTCGTTTTCATGGCACTTGTCTATTAAAATTTGGAGTATCACTGGCTGCTCTCACCTCTTCATACGGACTTTGGAATCATTTTGTTAAATTATTTTTTAAAACCTGTGGATTTGAGTTGGGATGACATTATTGATGATTAGCTGGGTGTGGATTTGAGTTGGGGTGACATTATTGATGATTATTTTAGTAGAGATAGGGTTTCACTATGCCGCTGTAGGCTGGTCTCGAACTCCTGGGTGATCTGCCTGGGCTTGGCCTCTCAGAGTGCTGGGATCATAGGCATGAGCCACCGTGCCCAGCCTCCAGCTGAAATTTTAATCTGCAAGCCCATGACATTTTGTCCTCTGTCCCAACCTGCTCCATAACTCTGACTTCCACGCTGGGTCAGCTGCCACTGGGCTTCCTGGGGATTATATTTCATTTTTTCTTCGTATCTCATTCTGTTCGCTCGCTTGGTAATTTGTCTATTAAAATTTGGAGAATACTGGCTGCTCTCACTCTTCATACGGACTTTGGAATCATTTTGAGTTAATTATTTTTTAAACCTGTGGATTTGGAGTTGGGATGACATTATTGATGATTAGCTGGGTGTGGATTTGAGTTGGGGTGACATTATTGATGATTATCGGGGTGTGGATTTGAGTTGGGGTGACATTGATGATTAGCTGTGATTTGAGTTAAAGACATTGATGATTAGCTGGGTGGATTTGAGTTGGGGTGACATGATTAGCTGGGTGTGGATTTGAGTTGGGGTGACATTATCAATTAGTTGGGTGTGGATTTGAGTTGGGGTGACATTATTATCGGGGTGTGGATTTGAGTTGGGGTGACATTGATGATTAGCTGGGTGTGGATTTAGGTTGGGATGACATTATTGATGATTAGTTGGGTGTGGATTTGAGTTGGGATGACATTATTGATGATTAGCTGGGTGTGGATTTAGGTTGGGATGACACTGATGATTAGCTGAGTGTGGATTTAGGTTGGGATGACATTATTGATTAGCTGGGTGTGGATTTAGGTTGGGATGACATTATTGATGATTAGCTGAGTGTGGATATAGGTTGGGATGGCATTATTGATGATTAGCTGAGTGTGGATTTAGGTTGGGATGATATTATTGATGATTAGCTGAGTGTGGATTTGAGTTGGGATGACATTGATGATTAGCTGAGTGTGGATTTAGGTTGGGATGACATTATTGATGATTAGCTGAGTGTGGATTTAGGTTGGGATGACGTGATTGATGATTAGCTGGGGGAGTTTTTTTCTTCACAGTGTTTTCTCCCCATGTACGAATGTTTCCTGTCTCTGCCTTTACTGAAGTCTTGTAAACCTGTGAGTGGACTTACGTGCCTCTTGCTGCTGAGGCCTGGTCTGCTGCTCCTCCCACTGAGTGAGCAATGCTTCTGCTGGATTCCTGTGTACTCCTCATTACCCGCCTTGCTGAGAGCTCAGCCATTCTGCGGGACCCAGGGTTTGCGGGAGCTTTCTAGGTACACAGGTGCCATGCGTGCTCCTCCACCCTGCGCTGGTCTTGCCTGCTGCTCTCGTGGGTGTCCCGGGTAAATGCAAGCCCCCTGCTTATAGGCAGCCCTCATATGATGGCTCCCAGCACTTTCTGTCCCACCATTAGGGGCCCTGGGACCTGTTCTTCCAGTGACCCAGATGGGTGAGGCTATAACAGCCCTGGCCAGCTGCCTCTGCCATTTGGTGACCATGATGGGGAGGTGTCAGCAAAGCACCCTTTGTGTTGACTCCTCCTCCTGCCAGGTCTGTACTCTCTATCCGGTCACCCCTTCTCCCTCGGACCATCCCCCAGATCAGCTGCTATCCCCAGGCCCTACCATCAGGGGACCCAGGCCTGGTCAGGGAAAGTTGCTGGGTGCCACATTCTCCCCCATCGTCCCGCTCACTGCTTTCTCTTGACGGGTAAGGCTTCCCAAATGACGGGAACTGATGGTCGTGGTGAAGGCGAGGCTGGTTTCATCAGGCATTTAGCAGCCAAGGGGTGGCTCATGAATGCAGATACAGTGCGGGGGCTGGAGAGGAGCTGGGCTGGGCTGACCTGGGAGGCTGAGGCTGATGGAGAGCGGGCAGGTAGGGTGGAGAGGCAGGAAGGCTGGTGGCAGTCACATTGCTGAGGGCCTAGAGCCTGGCCAGAAAGCCGTGGAGAGAGGCAGTGGGTGGGCTGGGGGTTCAGGCCTGCTTGGAGGGGAGGCAGCTGGCGCAGTGGCCCATACGCCATGGGGTGAAGACCAGGGCAGGGTCCAGGGATGGCTTTGAGGGTGACCTGGAGCTGCTCAGGAAGTGAGATGGCTCGGCCTGACCTGGCCATTGACTGGCAAGGAACAGGACGGAGAAGTTGCGTTCTGGGCCTTTGGTGAGTGTGACATTGTCATTGTTGACATAGCTTTAAAGATGGGATTGCTTAGGACATGCCTTGTAGTGCTACCGGCATCTCAGCATTTGGCAGGTGTAGTCCAGTTCTGTTTGCACTTCCTCAGTCTTATTTCTAGAAGGGAGAGTTCCCAGCCTTGCTTGATTTCCTCCCACTGATGGGAGGCTCATCACTTTACGGGAGGCTCATTTGACTTAGGCCTTCTGAGGGTAGTTTCATTCTGGTAGATTTTTTTGTTTGTTTGTTTGTTTTTTTTTTTGAGACTGGTCTCACTTTTGTCACCCGAGCCGGAGTGCGGTGGCATGATCTCGGCTCACTGCAAGCTCTGCCTCCCAGGTTCATGTGATTCTCCTGCCTCAGCTTCCCAAGTAGCTGGGAATACAGGCACCTGCCACCACGCCCAGCTAATTTTTTGTATTTTTAGTAGAGACGGGGTTTCACCACGTTAGCCAGGATGGTCTCGATCTCCTGACCTCGTGATCTGCCTGCCTCAGCCTCCCAAAGTGCTGGGATTCCAGGCGTGAGCCAGCGCGCCCGGCCTCATTCTGGTAGATCTTTAGAGGCTTGGTGTGCATGTGTTTGGAGGGCTCTCTTGCAAGCCTTTTGTGAGTCCTCTTGGTTCCTTCCTCCCACTCGGGGTTCCCGGGCTCCCTGCGGCACGGTGGGTCTAACACAGAGACTTGCTCTTCCTTTCCTCCTGTAGTGCTTCACCGATACAGACACATTCTGGGATTGTGGCAGCCAGATATCGGGCCATACGGAGGACTGCTGAACGTGGTGGTAAGTCCCGGAGCCTCGCGACAGGGTCTGTGCATGGGCAGGAGTGGTGCCTCACGTGGAGGAATTTGAGGGCCTCTTCTACCTGGGGACAAGCTGCCCAGATGTGCCTTCGAGGTAATTGCCGAAAACTTCTTGCTCCGTCACTTTTCAGGGGCCAATTTTATTTTCCAAATGGGCAAAGATTCACTTAGAGCAACACTTCGGCCTCGTGGCCCGTCCTTGGACTCTGGTCGGAGGGGGTGGCTTGCGAGCGCCTTTGCTTCCTGGATGCCGAGGCCTAGCGCGCACATGTTGGCAGGGTCTGGAGCTCGCCCTCAGCCAGGTGCTTCCTTTCTTGGTCTTTGCCCCACATGTTCCAGCCATGTTGCACTCTGACGTCTGTTTCCTTGGGTTCTGCCGTGGACCCTTTCTGACTACCATGGTCTGGAAGGTGCTAGCACGTTGCAGGCGGAAGTCCAGGCTGGTGGCAGTCGCCTCCATTTCCCTTCTCCCGGCAGCTTGCTGTGGGGTTTGAGGACCCGTGAGGACATTTCTTTCCTGTTTGTTGGGTCTGCCATGGCAGTGCCTGTCTAGTCCCAGGTACTCAATCATGGCCGGAGATGGAAGTCTGGCTTTCTTTTTTTATTAAATTCTCATTTTCTAGTGAAGTTTTCCTTCTCTTTGTTAATCTTTTTGGGTATAGTAGTGAAAGTTTCTTTCAAGTCTAGCCCCCGCCTTTTCTCCTGATCTCCAGGCATGCTGGCTACCCTCCACTCCTCACCATGCACCTGGGCACTTGTCTGGGTGCCGTGGCCTGGTCTCCCCAGGAGTCCCTGGCCCCGGCCAGCAGGCAGAGCTGAGTCAGAGCACCTGTTCTGCGTGGGCCCGGGGTATGCGTGCATCTCAGGCTTGGGGAGGCGTCTTGTTCTCGTTCCGGGTCACTCTCCTTCCCAGAACACAGCCCTCTGTAGGGCCTAGCTGGAAGCCCTCCGTGCACTCCTTCCCCAGGCCCTGATTCCGCCTTTTCTCTTCCTGGCTTTGTGAGTCATGCTTCGCTTGGCCCCTTTGCCTCTCAGCAGTCACTCTACTTCCCTTCTCCACCTTCCACCCCGCACTGAGGATTCCACAGGTGCCTTGTGCAGCTGCCGGTGTGCAGCGTGGGGCTGTTCTCTGGTTGCCATCTTTGGCGTTTGGCTGCAGTAGTCCTGGCTCCTTTGTGGCCCTGATCTCCGTGTGCGCCTCTCCAGACTCGGGTGCCAGGCATGGGCCTTCGTCCCCAGCCAGTGGTCAGTGGCCTCAGGAAGCGGGGAGAATGCCCTGCCCCTTGCCCCTCAGCCTGTCCCTTCTCTTCAGGGCCTTGGGTCCTTGTCTCTGGGCTACCTTCATTGCTCTCTGATGTGTTCAGTCTTTTTTCTTTTTCTTGTTTTCTTCCTTCTGGAATTAGGAGACAGTGTTCAGTCTTCATGGCTGATCTCGGCAGGAGGGCAGGTTTGATGGGAGCTCTGGGGCCGGGGCCAGGAGCACATGTCTGCTTGTAGTTTTAGCTTCTGTGCTTCTCGGTCACCTGCCAATGTATGTTGAAAAGTAGCTACTCATTCAACACAGTGAAGTCGTCCGACTTTTCTTGGTGTTTGCAGGTGTCCCTGTGGAGTGAGGAGGTGGTGCTCTGTGGGGTCTGCATGGCTTCTGGTCCACCCTCCCACCCTCTTCCCCTCTCTCCCTCCCACCCTGCGTCCCACCCCCTGCGCCCTCCAGCTGGAGCCTCTTGAACGGAAAGCCCCACCCTGACTTTGTTGAGCTCTGGGCAGGCGCCTGGCCCCTGAGGTGTCACTATTGCCATCGCTCTTGCTGTGTTGAAAACCTGGCGCTGGTGTTGTGGTTGTGCCCGGCTCCCTTTTGTGGACTCGGGACCAAGGGCTGAGCCCAGCGAGGGCAGGGCGGGTGTGTCTGCCTCCCTGTGGCCTCCGAGTAGGTTCTTCCGGGCCTGGCGTGCATGGCCCTCGGGCAGATGCTCCTCTGCGGCTCTGGGCTTTGCCCCCAGGTGGGGTTTGGGGCAGAGACACACAAGCTTCTCCGTTGTCATCTGGTAGGAGCAGCGGCTGTGGAGACACCCGCTCTGCGATTGTGTTGGGCGTCGCGTGGTCCAGCCTTGCTTTTAGGCTGTTTCCTCCGAGAGACCAGGCCGGCAGCTCACAGCGTGGGCAGATTGCTTTCCTTTCTTTTAGTGGAGGAAGGGTAGTAATTATTTTTCTTACTGGCAGTGAGTAATAGAGTAAAAAAAAAAACAAACCCAAAAAGCAGTGGATAATTGGGGAAAGTGGAGTCCATGAGAGAACGGCACCAGCTCACGCTTGACCCAGGCTCATTCGCCCCAGAAATGATGGAATTCTTTCCTCGGTCGCTGGAGCTAGAAGTCTCATGGGTTCTGGCTGTCCCAGAAGAGGGTGATGCTAGGCTGTCCTTCCTTATAAGCATGTGGCCGCTGTGCCCAGAGCATGCTGGGGCACACCCACCTCTGTGTTTGCACAGTCAGTGCCCAGACACGCGAGGACACATGGGCAGTGCACTCCCCAGCTCTTCCCGCTTCTGAGCTCCCCCACCCCGAGGTCCTGGCATCTCTCTCCTCCCCCGCACTTTGGTTTTGAAGCAAATCCCAGGCCCGTGGCATTTCAGCTGTCCCTCCCTCCGTGCAGCACTCTAAGAAAGGGGGTGTTTCCTGCATTTCCGTGTCACTGCCACACCTGACAAAAGTGGCAATTGTTCCTTCTGTTGCCTGTTGCCCAGGCCATGGCATGCTTCCTGGACCATCTCAAAGCCGCCTTTGAGCGACAGTTTGTTCAGCTCAGGATGCGAACGAGGCCCTTGCACTGCCGTTGTTCACTCTTTCCTGTTGGGAAATGCACCCCCGTTCCCTCTGTCCGGTTGGCACCTCACCTGGTCTCACTTTCTGGATGATTCTGCCTCCTCCTGGTGTCCACCCCCATCTTAGAGCTGGAAGATAGTGCTGGGCACTGGCTTGGATTCGAGGCACCTCGAGGGTGGGCATGCGTGTCCCATGTGCTGGCCTGGCAGGAACTTCTCTGTGCGATTGCAGTGCGGGGAGCCATGCAGGGCCGCTCTCACTCTGGCCTGGGAGCCGCTCGTGGACCTTTGCCCATCTCCTCCTGTAGGTGGATGGTTTGTTCATCATTGGGTGGATGTACCTGCCTCCCCATGACCCCCACGTCGATGACCCCATGAGATTCAAGCCTCTGTTCAGGATCCACCTGATGGAGAGGAAGGCCGCCACAGTGGAGTGCATGTACGGCCACAAAGGGCCCCACCACGGCCACATCCAGGTGTGTGCGGGACTGGGTCCTCACTGTCCCAGGGCTGTCCTGTGTGGGCTCCACCCAGGCCTCCTGTGCTGTTCTCAGCTGCAGACCTGGCCTGTGGCAGGTCAGCGGGTGGGAGGGAGCTCCGCCTGCCCTGCTTTCCTGTTCACGCCTCCATGGCGCGGTGGACTCCGCAGCAGTCACTTGCCAGACCCCTCTGTTGATTCTGCCCTCAGTTAGAGCCGCTGGTTCTTTGCAATTTCGGTTCCTCCGTTTCTTTTTTTCCTGTTTGCAAGAATATCAGTGTGGAATCAAGTGCGCTCTCTGTTCTCTGATCTGGTCTGGCAGTGGCCTCCATGGTGAGCGCAGCGTGTCATCTGCCACACCCTGAGTGTGAGACGCAGTCCTTTTGCTGCTCTGTGTCCCTGGGAAATGCAAACGCCCCCTCTGAGATGTGCCACCGCCTCCTGCTCTGGGGGAGGTGCCGCTGCCGCCTGCTCTGTGGGAACGTTGCTCAGGGAGACTCAGCCCCCTCTGCTGGCACCGCATTGGTTGCATCTTGGGTGCCTGCAGCGGGGTTTGGTGGGTGTGGTGCAGGAGGGGTTGTGGCCACCTGCCTGGCGTGGGGGATGCTGTGACGACTCTGTTCCTCACTCTTCTCTTTCCTCACATTGCGAACACTGAAGATTGTGAAGAAGGATGAGTTCTCCACCAAGTGCAACCAGACGGACCACCACAGGATGTCCGGCGGGAGGCAGGAGGTGAGCCCACGAGCCAGCCCTGTGTTCACGTGGCGTGGACCTTTCCCACGCGGGAGGGAAGTCAGCAGCATGCGACCTGCATGGTGGCCATTTCCCATGGTTCAGCCAGTATTGTTGGTGTAGACCGCGCATCCTGCACACTCGAGGAACAGCATTGTGTGGGCGGGCAGGTTGCCAGTCCCCTCCCACCGCAGAATGAAGGAACTGCACAGGCCGTTTCTTTAGTTAGCTCTGCTTTGCCCCTTTGGCGGGCACATCCACTTGCTGTGGGGTTGCTGTGGGGTTGCTGGGGGGTTTCTGGGGGGTTTCTGTGGGGTTTCTGTGGGGTTTCTGGGGAGTTGCTGTGGGGTTGCTGTGCGGTTGCTGTGGGGTTGCTGGGGGGTTGCTGGGGGGTTGCTGGGGAGTTGCTGGGGAGTTGCTGTGGGGTTGCTGGGGGCTTGCTGGGGGCTTGCTGGAGGCTTGCTGGGAGGCTGCTTCTAGGACATGAGCTGCAGGGAGACCGGAGGGCTGCACCCAGAGCTCCTGAGTTTCCCACCCTCGAGCAGACTGTGTGGAGGCTTCCAGATCATGCCAGTGCAGGGGCGAAGCCTGTGTGTATTTTAATATTGCCCTTGAGTTTCAGCTTTCAAGGATCTAAGTCTTACTGCCATCTCAAAAAGCACTCTTAAGAAGGAAGGTACGGTGGCTCACACCTGTATTCCCAGCTCTTTGGGAGGCTGAGGCAGGAGGATCACTTGAAGTCAGGAGTTCAAAACCAGCCAGGGAAACATAGTGAGACCCTGTCTCTACAAAACCCAAAAATATTAGGCAGGTATGGTGGCATGCCAGCTACTTAGGAGGCTGGGGTGGGAGGATTGTCTGAGCCCAGGAGGTGGAGGCTGCAGTGAGCTATGATCACACCACCGCACTGCCACGTGGGTGTCTCAAAAGAAAAAACAAAAAATTAGCCAGGCACACTACCATGCCTGGCTAATTTTTTTGTGTTTTTAGTAGAGACGGGGTTATGCCATTGTTGCCCAGGCTGGTGGCAAACTCCTGGGCTCAAGCCATCTTCCCACCTTGGCCTCCCAAAGTGCTGGGATTGCAGGTGTGAGCCACCGTTCCCGGCCAGGGTGTGCGTTTCTTAGCTAGTTTGAGTTTCTGGCGGTTTCCCCATCAGTCAGAGGACTGCAGAGAGGGTTAAGATGAACCATATGTTCTGTTTCTTGGAATCCTTTGCAGGTGAGTGAGGTTCCTGTTTTCTCGAATAGATGGCATGTGAAGATGATCAATAATGGAAAGGTTTTCTTCATTTATTACGCTGTCATTTTAGATTTGGTTTTATGTACAGAAACCTACAACGTATGTGTGATTGCTGTGGTTCACTGTTTTTTTTTTTTTTTTAAATGGAGTCTCGCTCTGTTGCCCAGGCTGGAGTGCAGTGGGGCGATGTTGGCAATTCTACTGCCTCAGCCTCCCGAGTAGCTGAGATTACAGGCATCTGCCACCATGCCTGGCTACTTTTTGTATTTTTAGTAGAGACGGGGTTTCACCATGTTGGTCAGGCTGGTCTCGAACTCCTGACCTCAGGCGATCTGCCCTCCTCGGCCTCCCAAAGTGCTGGGATTACAGGTGTGAGTCACCGTGCCAGGCCTTATGGTTCACATTTAATTGAAAGATGTCAACAGATTTTTCAAGAATAGAAACTCCTCAGCTGCTGAGCCCTTAAAAAAGAAAACCGTATTATATTTCTGGTACTATATACTCTGGGATTAGGAAGAGTTTCTGTAAGCCAGCTTCTGTGCAGGCTCTTCACTGATTTTGAACTGGAGTAGTATTTTTCCGGATTGTAAATATAACAACAGATGCTCCTTGTGGAAATGAGAAGAACTCCCGGGAGTGAAGGTGAGAGGGAAGGTCGTGCTGGAATCTTGATGGGGGTGTGAATTTATGTTTCCCTTATTCTGAATGAGGCCAGCCTAGTGTCTTGGGGTCAGGAGCTCTCGGTGGGCGCTTTCTCGGGAGCTGTCTGCTCAGAGCCCGTGCCTCTTTCTGTTTGGTGTTGGCGGGTTTCAGGTGGGTTTGTGGGAGCTTGTTAACTGTTTGGAAACTGAAGCCCTTCCAGATAGGAGTTGCCAGGTTTTTTTCTTGTTCATTTTTTTTGTCTTTGGATTTGTCTTATGGTGTGTTTTCATCCACGGAACTTTTTATCTTTAATGTTAATTTTCAGAGACGGGATGTCTCACTTTGTTGCCCAGGCTGGTCCCAAACTCCTGGGCACAAGTGATCTTCCCGCCTTGGCCTCCCAAAGTTCTGGGGCTACAGGCATGAGCCACTGTGCCCGGCCGTATTTTTAATTTTTACATAAGCAGATGTATCCATCTTTCTTTAAAAGACTCTCAGTTTAGTGCCGTCCTGAGATCTCTCCCTGACCCAGATGCGTTTACAAATGAGCTCATGCTTTTAGTTTTCTCTCGTGTCTGTGTCTGGTTCTGTTGGATTTATTCTGACGTGAAATGTAAGGCTCAGCCCCAGCCTTGGTTCTGTGCAGACCTGCTCTGTTATCCCTACACTGGATGTGGAATAACCACACTTTCTCCATCAATTTGTAGTGCTGCTTTTGTCCTAGGTTACCCTGTATATTTGGTTCATTTCTGGACTTGATATTGTGATCCATATGTCTGTCTACATGTCAGTACCACACTGTTCTAATTCTTGTAGTTTTTATTTGTTTTGAGACGTAGTCTCGCCCTGTCCAGTGCAGTGGTGTGATCTCAGCTCACTGCAACCTCCACCTCCTGGGTTCAAGTGATTCTCCTGCCTCAGCCTCTCTCCCAAGTAGTTGGGATTACAGATGCCCACCACCACGCCTGGCTAATTTTTATATTTTTAGCAGAGACAGGGTTTCGCCATGTTGGCCAGGTTGGTCTTGAACTCCTGACCTCAGGTGATCTGCCCGCCTTGGCCTCCCAAAGTGCTGGGATAACAGGTGTGAGTCATCACGCCTGGCCAAATTTTTGTAGTTTTATCACTATATTTTATTTTATTTATTTTATTTTATTTTATTATTTTTGACTTAGAGACAGGGTCTCACTGTGTTGCCCAGGCTGGGCTCAAGTGATCCTCCTACCTCAGCCTCCCAAAGTGTTGGGATTACAGCTGTGAGCCACTGCACTGGCCTGTCACTAATTTTAATTGTCTGTATTTCTCTTCTATTTTGGAATGTTCCCGACTCATTTTGTTCATTTGCTGTATGAACTCTAGAAGCAGCTATTTCCCAGAAACATCCCCTTGCTGTCTCTTGCGATTGGAATTGCAGCACGCTTATGGTCAGTGTATGGAGCGCTGCCGTTTGTGTGATGTCCACACCCCATCCAACACACTCCCTTGGCTTGTCCCGCTCCTGAGCTCCCCCTCCCGGAGTTGACAGAGTGAGAGTGCCACTGTCCCAGGTAGGGCAGAGGCTGGGGCTGGTGACGGTGCTGCCCCGCCCATCCTAGAGTGACAGTGGCCTCTCCTCTCCTGAAGGGGCTGCACTGGCTGCGCCCTCCTGTGGGGCTTGTCACCTGGTCCCACAGTCACTTTGTTCATCTTGAGACCTGCAGTGTCCTTGCTGCTTTTCTCTCAGGACGTGTAGGGGTTCAGAGGGTGGGGGTCTCTGTGGATTCATGCATCAGCTGGGAGCTCCTCTCCACTTTGTAGCTAAGTCTTTTTAGGCCAGAGAGCAGGTAGATTACTGGGAGAGCTGCGTTCCAGAAAGGGGACGTCCCAGGAGGTCTGGACACAGTGACACATCCTGATAATTTTCACAACTGAGGTAAAAGATTGGGCACAGGAATTCGGTACTGCCCTGTGCTCTGCTGGCTGATAACTTCTGGATCAGCACTGTGTTCGTCCATTTTCACACTGCTGATAAAGACATACCCGAGACTGGGTAATCTGTAAGGGAAAGAGGTTGAATGGACTCACAGTTCCATGTGGCTGGGGAGGCCTCACAATCATGGTGGAAAGCGAAAGGCACATCTTACGTGGTGGCAAGCAAAAGAAGAGAGAACTTGCACAGGGGAACTCCCCTTTATAAAACCATCGCCTCTCGTGAGACTTATTCACTATCATGAGAGCAGCATGGAAAAGACCCCCACCCCCATGATTCGCTTACCTGCCACGGGGTCCCTCCCATGAAGAGCTACAGTTCAAGATGAGATTTGGGTGGGGACATAGCCAAACCGTATCAAGCACGTTCCAAGGGAGTGGAGTCCTGTCTGCAGGGAGGTTGGAGGGGCTGGGCCGTGGACAGAGGGGAGGCTGCGAGGGCAGTGCAGTCTCTTTGGCATCCCTGCACCTCTGTGTGGGTCACCGCTGCCCTGGGAGGTCGTTCCTTGCGCCCAGGCTGCCTCACTGGCATGATCTGATGATGTTTCCAGGGTTGTGGGTTCCCTCAGCCCTGGGTCCTTGTGAGAAATGGGACCCTCGGACCCACCCAGACCTGGCCTTTTCTGTATGGTTGCTAAATCTCAGGCCTGAGAAAGGAGCAGAGAGAAGGGAGGATGGGCCATGCTCCTGTCCCAAGCAGCCAGCAGGCATCCTTGTCACCCTCAGCCCCTCCGCCAGGGCTGCCGTGAGGGTCGCGAGGACAGCGTGTTTAGTGAGCAGGCCCTGGGTCAACGTGAAATGGATCGTTGTCGTGCATGTCCTGGGCTCCCTGTTTTTTTTTCCTTGTATGTATTGTGTGGCTTGTATGTATTGCTCTGATAAGTTATTTCATAATAAAGATGCCCGGGATGGCCTTGTTCTGGGTAACAGGGTCTGGCTGGTAGTCCCATTGCTTGGACCTCTTTATGCAAACTGAGGTCATGGCTGCAGGTGCACACTCGTCTTCCTGGTGGTGTCGAGTTGAGGTCTCATTACTCACAGTGGTAACGTTGAAATCTTTCTTCATTACATTCAGTTACTTTTGATTCTGTTATTTAAAGAGCCTTTCCTCAAGTTCAGCCACTCAAGTTTTAATTTTGATGAGGTCCAATTTGTGAAACTTTTTGTTTTCTTTTATGGTTATTTTCTGAGTCCTAAAAAACATTCTAAAAATTGAGTCTTAAAACTCAGTGTGCAAAGATAGTAGGCTCCATTTTTTTTTTCTTAAATAGAAATTTGGTAGTGTCACATCAGGTTCTGCATTTGTGTGCAGGCCTGTGCCCCATCTTGAATGATCTTGTGTGTGGTATAAGGTGGGATCATGGTTCCTTCTTCTCTATGTGAAAACCCAACTGACGGAGCACCTTGCTGAAAACCTTCCTTTCCTCAGGGATGGCCACGGGCGCCTCCGCTGCAGTCAGGCAGCCAGGTCCGCGGTGGGTTTGTGGGCTGCTGGCTCTGTTGGTGCCGGTGTGAGGCCTGAGGCTTGCACGCCATCTCGTGACGGGAGCTTGTACTGGGCAAGTCCCGAGAGCAGCCTGGTCCTGCTGCTTTGCTCTTCGCCTTCCTGATTGCCTGTCTGTCCCGGTTCTTTGCTTTTCCATAGGAATTTCAGACTTGGCAAGTCCAGTCTGTGTAGTGCCTGGTGGACTTGTGGTTGGCATGAGGTTGGATCTGTAGATCAATCTGGAGAGAACTGCTCTTGGAATGGGGCCTAGATGGCTCCCAGGCCACGCACATGGCATCTCTATGTACCCAGGCATTTTTACTTCCTTTCAGCAGTGTTTTGTGATTTTCAGAATAGATCTTAAATGTATTTTGTAACATTTATTCCCAAGTCTTATGTTTTTTGAGGATTTTGAACATAGAGTTTTTTAAATTTCATTTTTATATTTTGTGCTGCTAGGACACAAAAATCCAGGTGGCTTCTGTGTTGACCATGTGGTCCTGCCAGGTGCTCAGGGCAGCCCCTACAGTGATTTCTGTTTGTTGTCAGAGTCTGGAGCAGTGATGTGTGAAAGCGATTGACCATAGTGTTTCCTCTTTTTTGTGAGTTGCTTATGCGTCCCTTTCAGAGTTAAGTCTAGATAATGACTGGAAACACTGTATTGAGCTAGGAATTTGGAAGTTTGGATGAGTTCCGTAAATTGTGTAGAATCGAACCATTACGCACCATGTGATGGCAGAATGCAGGGCGGACTGCTGGGGCTGCAGAGTTTTTGGGAGCCCCCTTAGCAAACCTGCTTTTCCTTTGAAAAAGGAAAGTCCGAGTCACTGGTCGAGGGCTCAGTGCGTCATCCTTGGGTGACTCGCATGGCTCAGGGTTGCTGGTGAGGGTCCCGGAACACTCAGGCTCCTAGGAGCCAGAGAAGCAGACTGAGGGGCTCTGAGTCTGTAGATGCTGTTCCTGCCCCACTGGTGGGCACGGAAGGGAGCCCCACTCTGAGCCGTGGTCATGGCTGTGGCCCCCAGCTCACCTGGGCTCCCCACAGCCCCTGCTGCTTCCCACCCAGCAGACCAAGGGCCCGAGCCCTTCACTTTTTGTTGGCAGGCACCTCTGACATGGGGTCAAACCCGGCAGCTCCCCTTTCTCTTCCCAGCACCGAGTCCATCCTGCCCCACCAGGAGGGCCCTGCAGGTGCCTGTGCGCTGACAAAGAAGGATACAAACACTATGTCCTCTCAGTGGCACAGCTGGCAGCCTCTTCACAGCCTCCTGTCATATTGATATTCATGATCTGTGTTCTTTTGGAAGGAGTTTCGGACGTGGCTGAGGGAGGAATGGGGGCGCACGCTGGAGGACATCTTCCACGAGCACATGCAGGAGCTCATCCTGATGAAGTTCATCTACACCAGTCAGTACGAGTGAGTGCGGCTCCTACTCGGTGCTGGGGCGGCCCTCTCCTGGGGCGTGCTGGGGGCGCAGGCCTGTCCTGGTGGGTGCTGGGGCATAGTCCTCTGTCCCAGTATGGTGGGTGCTGGGATGTAGCCCTCCAGCTGGGTGCTGGGGTTCAGCCCTCTCTCCTGCTGGGGGCTAGGAGTGCAGCCCCTCTCTGGGTGCTGGGAGCATAGTTCTCTCTTTCTGTGGGTGCTAGGGCACAGTCCTCCCTCTCCCAGTGGGTGCTCGGAACACAGCCCCTCTCTCTGTGGCTGCTGGGAGTGCAGGCCTTCCTATAGCTGCTGTGGCACAGCCCCAGCCCCCGTCCTTCACCCGAGTGTCTGTTTTTGTCTGATTTCTTGTCACCCCCACCAGCACTGGTGCTCTAGAGGTCAGCCCCGCTCAGCCCAGTGCGGGGGTCCCCTCCATGGTGACTTGGGCTCCTTTCCTCCGGGTAATGGAACAGACTGGCACTTCCTTTCCTCTCCTGCCTAAAGCTCTGCCCTGGCGCCAGTGCTCCCCTTAACCCCAGAAGTCTTGTTGGAAGCGGGCGTGCAGGAGGGTGGAGGGGGCGAGGGCTCCCCCATGCGCATTGCTGCCCACAGGCCTGGTGGACACTTGGCCCCGGTTGAGCTGAGCTGCCCGCCCTACCCCGCCCTGCAAAGCTTGGCCCTGGCGCCTTGGGCGTTAGCAGTCCTGCCTGCCTCACGAGGTCTCCTGTACTGACCCTCCCGCTCCCCACAGCAACTGCCTGACCTACCGCCGCATCTACCTGCCGCCCAGCCGCCCCGACGACCTCATCAAGCCTGGCCTCTTCAAAGGTACCTATGGCAGCCACGGCCTGGAGATCGTGATGCTCAGCTTCCATGGCCGGCGTGCCAGGGGCACCAAGATCACGGTGAGTGGCGGCTGCCCTGGTCGGCAGGGCTCTGGGAGCACCCGGCCCAACTGGGCTGTGGAGTCAGGGAACTTGGGCAGACACAGATCCCGGCACCCTTGGCTGTGGAGTCGGGGAACTTGGGCGGACACAGATCCCGGCACCCTTGCTCCTAAGAGTGGGCTTGTACCCGCAGCCCTGGGAGCTTGGGAAAGCAGATTCTCGGGCCCCCGCCAGCCCCACTGCACCAGAATGGCATTTCCACAAGACCCTCAGGGAGTCTGTGTGCTTCCAAGGTGGCCTTTCCACACCACTGCTCAGCCCTGGCCAGCCTGGCAGCCCTGTGGGGTTTAGGAAGTGCGGACAGCAGACCCCACACAGGCTCAGATTTAAATGGGGACAGCCCGGGAAAGGGGCCCCTCCAGCAGTTGCATGGAGACCCTTGTGCTCGCAGACAACTCCCACCGTCGGGGCTTCAGCAGCTCCTCTCCTTGGAGTGGCCTGAGGGTGGGCTGTGTGGTGAGCCCAACAGTATCTCCCCTCTCCTGGGGCTGTGAACAGGGGCTCGTTGCCCCCTGCCAGGGCTCCTGGCACATGCTGCCCGCCTGCCCTGCGTGGTTATTGGGATCCTGGCAGACAGTGCCTGAAGGGGCAGAGCCTCTTCCCCAACCCTCCAGGGATCAGGGCCACATCTGGCATGATGGGGCATTCCCTGGACTCCAGAGTTTTGGCTCCCGGACTCCTCACAGAGTTTTGGGGCTGAAGCATCTTCCCAGGGCTCGGCTCCAGGGCTGTGCCTTTTAGGCGGACAGATCTGGGCTGCCCCCTTGGGCTGTTGCCTGGCTCTGGGATGTTCTTTGAACTTCTCTGAGGGCAGTTGAGGAGGTGTGAGCCAGCCACCATCCTCAGGGGCACTCATAGGCGTCGCTGGCCCCCGCCACTTTCTAAGGGATTCTGAGACTCCTTCCTCCGTCAGGGATGCTGCTAAGTCAGTGGGAAGGCTGATGCCAGCTTGCTCAACCAGAGGTGGGTCTGGGCTGGAGCCCGCACAGCAGTGCTGCTGCTGCTGGCCTGAGCCCTGCTGAACACCACCACCCGCTCCACAGGGCGACCCCAACATCCCTGCCGGGCAGCAGACGGTGGAGATCGACCTGAGGCACCGGATCCAGCTGCCCGACCTCGAGAACCAGCGCAACTTCAACGAGCTCTCCCGCCTTGTCCTGGAGGTGCGCGAGCGGGTGCGCCAGGAGCAGCAGGAAGGCGGGCACGAGGCGGGCGAGGGTCACGGCCAGCAGGGACCCCGGGAGTCCCAGCCAAGCCCTGCCCAGCCCAGGGTGGAGGCGCCCAGCAGGGGCCCAGACGGGACACCTGGTGAGGACAGTGGCAAGCCCGGGGATGCCTCGGCCGCAGCTGAGCCGCCTGCCCAGTGTGGGCAGGGGCAGCCATTTGTGCTGCCCGTGGGCGTGAGCTCCAGGAATGAGGACTACCCCCGAACCTGCAGGATGTGGTAAGGATGCGGTGGGCGCTGGGGCCCGAGGGTGGGACAGCATGTGCTTCAGTGAGGGTCCCAGCCCCACACGCAGCACGGGCGGAGAGGGCCTGTGACCTCACAGAGGGTGGCAGCCAGTGCTTTGGGACAGGAGTGGGGCCTCTGACCCCTTGGGCCACGTCCCCCAGCACCTGAGCAAGCAGCCGCACAGCTGGGTCCTGTCCTGGAGGCTCCTGTCCTTCCACCGCTTCTGGGGTACCTTAGAGCTACAGGAGCACCAGGTCTCCAGATGCCTCACATCCCTGCAGCAGTGCCGTCCCCCAGTGGCTTCTAAAGCTACGTGTTTCCAGTCAGTCAAGTGAAAGATCAGGTAAACTGTCCAGCAGCTTTGAAAGCAGGAAATGAACAAGACCCCTTCCCCACCCACCCCGTGGAAAGCTCGCCTGGGTCGCGTGGGTGTCCACCCACCCTGTGGAAAGCCTGCCTGGTTTGGTGTCCTCCTGGTCAGCGTCTTGCCGGTCACCTCCGGCCATCTCCCAGTGCGTGGTTCACATGCGGGTCCTGCTTTCCTGCCCCTTCCCTCCTCTGTGCCGGGCCAGTGCCTGGGTGGCCAGTGGAGCGGATACCAGCTGAGACTGCGGGTGGGGGCTGGCATTGCCACTGCCCCTGCAGGGCTTGGGCAGCTGACATGGGTCGAGGCCTGTGCAGCTCCCAGCTGGTGTCTTGCTGACTTTTTAAATACAGTTTTGTCTGGGCCACCGCCTTCAGTACCCCAGGCCCCTTGCCGTTCAGGTTGTTCCTCATAGATGAACAAGGCCCTTGCCCTGTGTCCTTACCCTTTACAGCTGTTTAAATTCAAGTGAACTGAAATTGAATAAAATGAAAAATCCAGGCCCTCAGCCGCCCAGGCCATGTTTCAAGTGCTTCATGGCCACATGTGGCTGGACAGTGCGGCTCTAGAATATTCCATCACCACAGAGGGTTCTGCTGGACAGTGGCCTTGGGGGCCATTTTGAGGGTCCACCTGTCAGTTTCCTGGCATCAAAGTCATTCTGCCATTGTCAAGTTATGAGTCATTTTCCTTTTACCTACAAGCCATGCCGTCGTGTGTCTGCATTTCCCGCTAAACTTGCCATCATGGAGGGAAGGGTGCAACCGGCCCAGCTCCTGGAGGGGTCTGGATGTCTGGGCGGGGCTTTCTTCATGCTCCCATGTATGATAATGGTGACTGGGGTTTACAGAGAGAGGCATGCAAATAGTATTGGAGTGTTGTTTTAGCTGATGTAAATGTTTGAATAGCTAAAAAAGGAAAAAGCGCTGTTACCCTTCAAAAATCTCAAAACCCCCCATACTTCACAGCCAGCTCAGACCCAGTTTTCGAGTCACAGCACGTGCTGTGGCCACTGGCCAGGAAGCCCTGTCCAGCCCCTCTCCCCACCTAACCTGCAGGACAGTCCTTGCTGTGCTGAATATGGGGGCTCCCGAGCCCTTCCCTTAGTTTATGGGTCTGCAGGGCCTGGCCACGGCACCTACACGGGGAGTGCCTATTGCTTTTGTTCTGACCACGGTGCGATGGCTGCACCTGCCTCTGGTCACTGGAACTTCTCCCCGCACCTGAGAAGCCTCAGGTCCAGGTCCTGGTCCACGGGGCCGTTCTCCCCCGGGGCCTTTAGAGCCTCAGTGGGTGATTCCAGGCTAGCTCCTTACTTCTTGTCATCTGTTGGAAGAATTTAGCTGCTTGCAAGACAGACATAAGTGTCTTCCTGTCTGATGTTGACTTCAAAGCCATAAGTGGGTGTTTGCGAGTTTTTCCTTCGGAGTTAGTGTCAGACGCAGGCTGTCTGTGTTAGAGCTCATTGTTTGTATGGGGACATAACTCCCAGAAATCGAGATTTTTTTTCCACGTTGGGCCTGCTTTATGAAGCGTGTGTTTTGGATCAGAGCTCTTCGAACCTGCAGAGACCTCGTTTCCGTTCAGTGACTCGGCAGTGTTCAGTCAGTGGGTGAATCCCTCTCACGGGCACTGCGAGTCAGTACCCATCCGCCGAGCAGCACCGAGCTCTGGCCTCTGCGTCCATCATCAGGTGGGCTTGGCCTGCACCCGTAGCTACCCCTTCAGAGACAGGCTCAGCCCACGCCCCCCGCTGCCCCTTCAGAGACGGGCTCAGCCCACGCCCCCCGCTGCCCCTGCAGAGACAGGCTGGCTCTGGGAGTCAGCTTCTGGCTGATGAACAGTGGATGTGGCACTCGTGGCACAGAGCGGGTTGCAGAATGCTGGACGTGGCGTGCACTGGACTCAGCCGTCCCCCAGCTCACACTTTCCCTCTTGTTTCTGTTCAGTTTTTATGGCACAGGCCTCATCGCGGGCCACGGCTTCACCAGCCCTGAACGCACCCCTGGGGTTTTCATCCTCTTCGATGAGGACCGCTTCGGGTTTGTCTGGCTGGAGCTGAAATCCTTCAGCCTGTACAGCCGGGTCCAGGCCACCTTCCGGAACGCAGATGCGCCGTCCCCACAGGCCTTCGATGAGATGCTCAAGAACATTCAGTCCCTCACTTCCTGACTGGCCACGTCCTTGCGGCCACATCCTGGGCGGCTCTGGGGCTCTGGACTCTGACCTGTGAATAGAAGCAGCATGCACTTTGGAAATCCGGCCTTTTGACCAGAACGCACACCTCGTCGGGGGTCCCAGCCCAGCCACCCCCCAGCACTTTATGTAGAGAGTGTGACATAGACCTGCATATTTGTCAGTGCCATGATGGAAGAAGCTGAGCATGTCTTACCAAAAAAAGAACGAGCCGGAATGCAGCGGATCTAGGGGGACAGCCGCGGGGCCGTGTGAGAATTGAAGCGGTGGGGTTGCCGCACCCTGGGCTGGCTGGCGGTTTTCTCAGGAAACAGGACCCTCCTCTGGCGCTCTTTTCCCATGAGCGGATAGAATGATAGACTGGGTCGTGTGTGAGATGCATGTGTTGCACCCCACCCCGTTGGGGGAAGCCGGGCAGCAGTGGCCTCTGGGAGGGAGTCAGGAAGAGGCAGACAGCTCAGGCAGCGCAGGTGTGATGGGCACAGCGTGCGGAGAGCAAGCTCGGGACGTTGATAGGATCTCAGGCTTGGGGCCGGGACTCTGGAGTGAATCCCCATTTCTCTACCGGCTCACTTGGAGTTTGGACAGAAGCATTTCACCTCTGATCTCAGCTTCCCCACCTGTGGAGTGGGCTTAGTGACCTGAGTCACTAGGGAATGTCACTGTGAATGCACGGCCCAGCCCACTCACCTGCCCTGGCCCCTCTTCTCCAGCTTTGGAGCCAAGGCCATCGTTCCAGCCACTTGACTGTCCTTGACGGCCAGTTCCAGACAGGGCGTTTGTTTGGTCCCTGCCTTCCTCCCTGCACGCACATGGTGTCAAAACCAAGCTGCTGGCACTTCCTCCAGAACGCAAGGCTCCAGGCCCGTTTGTCTGAAGCACTGCGTGGTCCACACAGGTACCAGGAGTGCCCATAGGAGGTGACGAGGAAACCCCTTTGCAGGTGAGGGGATGGCTTTCTAGAAAAGCCACATCTGCAGCTGGGGACACACTTTGGAAAGCGGGACCCTCCAGCTTGGAGACCCCGTGGACTGACGCCTCCAGGGCTGTGTGCCCCGTGTCGTGTTAACCTGCGTGTGGGGGCCCTGTCTGAGGTCTTGGCTGAGGTTGGCATCTCCTGAAGAACAGTACGGTGCCTGGAGCTGGCCCTTCCCCCAGCCTGCAGCCAGCTCCGTGCCCGAGTGGGCGTCCCCAGCGAGTCTTCCCTCTCTGCCGCTTGTCCTTGGGTCTGGGCTGCTCCAAGCCCTTGTGCTGGGCACCCTGGACACGTCCTGCTGGTGAGGGTCCCCGGGAAGATGACAGTCTGTGTGCCTTTGTGTGGAGACCAACCTGAGGATGTCCTGGGAAACGTTTTCCTGATGAATTTCTCCTTGACTGGCCTTTAAAAAAAAAAAAAAAGAATTCCCATTGCCCAGCCTCAGTGCATTTGGCAAATTCTTACTTCGCATCCCAGAGTCAGAGAATTGGCAAAGGCCCCTAAATGGTAATCCGGCTGGCCTGGGAGACAGACTCAGGAGAAAAGCCAGTGGAGAAGGTGCCTCTCCAAGGTGGCAGCAGGGCTGCCCACCCATGAGCCACGCAGACCCCCAGGTGCGCCTGCTGGCTCTCGTGTGTGGCCCCAGTTTCTAGCGGCTTTTGTAGCATTAGCCTACAAGCTTTGTCATTCCCTGTCACTGTTTTTCTCTCGTGCCAAATGAGGTAGTCCCTGAGTGACAGTGACTGTGGGCTTGCAGCCTGGAGGACCCTTGGCATGTAGACTTGGCATCATTGGAGATTCATCATTGTTTAAATAAAATCAAGCAAATGCATTTTTACCAAGAGCCCGAGGCTGGCTCTAAGAGACCCAGTCCATCAGAGGCGCACCCTCTGGGGCTTGAAGAGCACACTGCAGGAGACGAGTGCTTCTGATTAAAGGAATCTCAGATCTCACGTGCGCTTCCAGTGTTTGGGTATAGAAATGGCTTCCACCCATGATGTTTAAGCCATGGCTGTGGTCAGCTCATGTGGCTCCTGGTGTGTGTGTTGGGGGGTCTGTCCGTGGTGGTGACCTGCGGTGATGCCAGGCAGGGCCAGAGCTACACAGCCAGGAAAGGGAGGCCTTTTTGGCCGCACAGCCAGTCCCTCCAGTTGTGACTACAGGCCTTGTTTTTTCCACTCCAACGCGTTCTTATCCAGTTCTTGGCTCCGGTTCTGTAGGGACATGCATAGAATCTGCGTGTCTCAAAACACAGCAGCTTCCCTTATGGGGGAAGGCATCCACCCTCTTGGGAAGCTGCAGGTGAGAACTCAGAAGGGCTGATATCATCGGAGGCCTAAGGGCAGCTGAGAGTTGGATAAAACCATTTCCAAGGAGGAGGCTGAGTAAGCCAGTTCAGGACAGCCAAGCGCATTGGGCTTGATAGGGGAAGGTGGCAGGTGGAGCTGGGAGGTTGGGGCTGTCCACCGTTTGCACCACGGGTGCCTTTCCCTCGCTGTGCCACTCCTCTGGGGCAGGATCAGGTCTGCTCTCTGGAGTGGGGCTGCCTGCAGTGCAGCTGTACACGCCTGGACGTGCTTTTTGTCACTCGTTTAGAAATGATGTGATTGAAGATTTCAAACAGGTCACTGGAAGCTTTTCTGTACCGGCAGTGAATGTTTGCACGAGGAAGTTGCAAATGACTTCTATAGGCTGAGATTCAAGGTGAGTGGTATTGGGGTCCCTCAGCCCACCTGGGCCCTGACCTCGGTGTCCGCTGCTGTGTGTGAGTGGCTTTGCGGGCCTGGTGGCGGGAGAACCTCAGGCTCCCTTATTCCTTGTTCCTGACCATGCCCTGGGCCCCTTTGGTCCGGCTGCGGCTCTGTGGTGTCCCTGCCCTGACACTGGGCACCTGCATCCCTAGCAAGCCCACCTGGCACACGAGGGGGCGGGGGCGGCCGTGGCCTTCCTCTAGCCACATGCCCTGCTGGCCACTCCATTTCACCTTTGTGCAGAACCGGGTTGGAGCTGGAGGTTTTTCTCTGGGAACCTGCAGTTGTGCTGCAACCGCCTGCGAGGGCCCTCCAGCCACTGGCTCTGGCTTTCCTGACTCCTCAGGGCTTGTTCACCCCCAGGCTTTCTCGCCTACACATGGTTAGGCCATTTTCAGTGCTCATGGGAGTCACGGACAGCAGCAGAACCTCCTCAGCCCCTTGGTTACTTCAGAACGCGCCCACATGCATCTTCCAAGCTTGTGTTGTCCTCATGGCTGTGGGGTCTCAGGTGCGAACAGGAGACACTGAGCTGTGGTCCACCGTCCAAGGCTCTGCAGAAAGCAGTGAGGCTCTTCTAGGATGTTTCCATTCTGGTTGCTACCTTCATGGTGTAACTTTTAAGAACACTTATGGGAATGTGCTCATAGAACCATCACCTGCCCTGAGAATAAAACTCCTTGAATCACGATCAAGTCCAGTGTTAACGTGACCCAGCCTGTCTTTACTCTGGGAAGAGACCAGGGACATCATTTGACTACGCATCCTCAGAATTATTTAGAGAAGAAAGCAGCAGATAATTTCCATTCGGCTAGTACTTTTTTGTTGTTTTTTTGAGACAGGGTCTTGCTCCGTCACCTGGGCTGGAGTGCAGAGGCATGATCACCGCTCACTGAGGCCTTGACCTCCTAGGCTCAAGCCATCTGCCCACATTAGCCTCCCAAATAGCTGGGACCACAGGTACCCACCACCACCACACCTGGCTAACTTGTTTTTGTAGAGATGGGGTTTTGCCATGTTGCTCAGGCTGGTCTTGAACTCCTGGGCTTAAGTAATCCACCCGCCTCTGCCTCCCAAAGTGCTGGGATTATAGGCGTGAGCCACTGCGCCCAGCCTTGGCCTGCACTTTGAATGGGAATGAGACTCTGCAAACCGTGGAATAACCCGTGTCACCCACAGCTCAGTGGCCTGTATGCCAGCCCTCCGGGGCTGCTGGCTGGGAGACTAGCCAGAGCACAAGGGGGTCAGAGCCGTGTGGTTTTGGCCTGATTCTGCATTTGGTGGTTCCTGGAGGCCATGTAGCCTGCCTGCATTAGGAAAGCACTGTGCCATCCGATCGTGAGCCCCTCCGCGCCCCCTGGTAAGGTGACCTTGCAGCAGGAGCTGTGCCCTGCCCGGGTAGGCACCCACTGGGTAGGACCGGAGCAAGCCTGGCAGCCGCCACCTGCACCCACGCACTTGTGTTTCTCCTCGCAGTTTTAAGTAAATCTGTTTTTGAAGGCTTGTTGTGTGTTTTGTGATTTGTTTCTTTGGGAACATGAGTCAGATGGAGGCGAGAGCCTTAAGCCATGCGGGCTGTCGGCCTGGGAACCCAGACTTCCTAGCTTCTTGACAAAGCGTCAGATTTCCTGCGTTGACAGAAGGGAGCATTGAAGGGATGCCTTGGAGCCCAGACAGTGGGTGTCCCTGTGTCCTTCCCTTTGACCTGGCATCAGAGGTATCTCCAGTCCCTACCCAGGGACCCTGAGGGGTTTGGACCCCAGTGGGTTTTCTTAGATTTAAGCCAAAGTGAATTGCATTATCTGCGACCAGGATAGATACGGGAGGGAGTGTGCTCAGAGCCAGGCAGATGAAGTGAGGATCTCATTGATCTTTCTTTTCTGTTTACTAAAGTAATACGTTCTTGTAAACAGTTCAAGTATTTAGCATAGACAGCGAAAGTACCTCCTGTTCTCATCCCAGCCTCCCCGTGACTCACTGCTGCTAATTAATGCTGTTAGCTTGGAATTGTAGAAAAAGGATGTTTTCCATGGAAATGCACTCAAAGTACACCATCGACTGGCAGAAATTGGCAAGTGTGATTTTCCAAGTGTTGGCAGTGATGCCGGGGAACAGGAACGCAGGTGGGACAGCTGTTTTGGGGACAGCTGGTACTAGCTCATTGACACCAAGGACATGGGCCCCGGGATTGGCAATTGCGTCCTGAGGGCCCGGGCATGCGCCAAGCAGGGATGTTCATTGCTACACTGTGACACCTGTCACAGGCCGGAAGGAGGCGGGTGGACTACGGGGGAGCCACCCATGCTGTCACCTGGCAGACGGGCACACAGCCTTGTTCCGTTGCAAAACAAGTGAGAGATGGTGTAACACATAAAAATGCAAATACTTAATTTTTATCAATTCACGTGTGGTGAAAAGCTGAAGATACGCGTAGGAATAGTATGGTCACATCTAGAAGTGTCAGTAGAACTTCAACTCTTGCTTTAAAAAGATTAAGGCTCACACGGCAGAACTAGCGTCTGTTCACCTGTTGATCCTGATACCATTGATTACGAGCCCCCCCCCCGCCCTTTCTGTGTGGTTCAGAAACAAGCCCCTCAGGCAGACACAGTGCCCGGGGCAGTGACCTGCAGGCCCACCCACTGCCATCTCTGCTGGTCTCAGGTTTGCCGCATGGCCTGCCAGCTGCGGCTGCTTCCTGGGCCCTGAGCGCCCTCCAGGGAGAGCAGGCGATTGTGGGTCTCCGGCGGTGGGCGCTTCCTTCTCTACTTTCAGGTTTGCTGCTATTTCCTGGGGCCTGGGTCCTGTCCCGGGGCCAAGCCATGGGGTCATCCTGAGCTGCACGGGGCGTGCCAACAACAAACGAGTCACTCGCTGCAAGCAGCACCATGCAGCCTCCTGTCTGGACGCGATCCTGTACCCCGCAGACTGGAGACGCCCCCATTTCCCAGGTCACGGGGGGAGTGTGGATCTGATAAGGGACTAAATGCGGCATCTTTCATACGTTTCTCTTATTTTAAAATGAAAAAAAAAAAAAATCAGGTCATGGGGAACGAGTGGAAGGCTGCTGCCTGCTGCAGTTCTCCTCTTGCTCTGAGTGTGGACAGCCCAGCCGGGGGGACCTGCTCTGGGCCTGGGTACCGCAGCCTCACCTAGACACAAGGGCAGAGGCTTTGTGCTCCAGGGATCTGACACCAGCATCCCCCTAGGTGCTCAGACCTTGGGCTTTTCTGTCTGCTGCTGGGGTTGAGGGGATAGCAGATGGGCAGTGAGGGCTGGTGGCTGCCTAGGCTGGCCGTGCCTAATACCAGTGGGTGAGGCGGAGGCTGAGAAGGGATTGTGGCTGGGTCACCTGGGCCCAGATGGAGCTCACTCCTCCCTCTGGGGACTTCTTGGCTGTGCTGCCCTTGGAGGCATGGCACTTTGCCCACCCCATGGATGGCAGGGCTTCAGCCTTCCTCCCCTTGCAGGGGGTGGGGTGCCCGGGGTCCTCCCTTTGTCCCCTCTCCTTAGGGGAGGTCCCTTTTTGCGGTGTGACCTCTAGTGGGTATTTAGGGTCACTGCAGAGGGTTGCCCCCAGCCAGCAATGTGAAACAATGCCATTTAGATAGTTTCCAAACCTACCCCCACCCCCTCCCCATTTTGACTTGAAAATCCCCAAGTGACAAGGCAGCAGTGCGTGTCCTTCCTATCTTTGCCTCTGTCTCTCTCCTTCCTGAGGGGGGCGATCCCTGGCGCCTTCCCTCCTTCCTTGTGTGCTGGCCTGGGCCCTCCCTGTTGCTGAAGCCCACCTGCACCGCCTCTGAGCCACAGGGGTCCCGGAAGCAAGGTGGAAAGGCACTCGAGGGCTGGGGGAGGTGTCCCTGCAGCGCTGTCCCTCCCCACCAAACAAGGAGCCGGGCTCTGCTGGGTGTTCTCCACGGCACGGTGTTTGGCAGACATTAACCACGGAACAACCGGGGTGCTGGTGTGGCTGGGATCAGCCCACTCCATAGGAGAGGAAGCAGCAGCTCAGAGAGACTGAGTAATTTGCCCAGGGTCACAAAGCCAGGGAGTATTAGCGCAGGGCCCCAGCCCCGCAGCCTCACCTCTCCCGAATGTGGGCCTCTAGGAAGAGCCGCGGTCGGTGACTCAGTTCAGCTGTTCTGGGACCCTTGCACCAAGTGTGGTGTTGAATCAGAAGCGCCAGCTCACAGAGTAGGTGCGGCCAGAGCAGTCCCGGCTGAAGCTGGGCGCTGATGAACTTGGGTTGAAAATCTTGACTTGGGCTCAGCCAGAGTGTATTGCTTATCAAACCACGACTTTTCCTTTCCCATGCGAGGACTTCTAGGACCTTGAATTCGGTTCTCATATAATAACACGAGAGCGCTGTTTTACAGAAACACAGGAGGCTCAGCCTGAGGCCACACGGCACACCACGGCAGCGTGGGAGTAGCACTCTGGCTCTTGGGACCCGCAATTCAAGCCCGGAGCCAGCTAAGGCCTCTGAGGGCGCAGCCCCCACGCCCCTCACAAATGTGGGTGGAGCTCGGTCAGCATCTGGCTTCAGCATCCCCATCTGCCGTGCACCCCTGCCTTTCCAGCCTGTGGCTCGGCTCCCCTTGCCCAGCCCCACGGCCTGATGTCCTGGCCGCATCCGCCTTGGCTGGGGCTCCTCTGGGCATCCGGAGTTGCTGCTTCCTGGCTCCTTCCAGATGTTTACAGAAACTGCAGGTCCACAGAGGACAGATGGCTCTGCCCGCAGGGAGGACAGGCCCCTGGTGCCCCTTCCCACACATACCTGTGCCACTGGCCCCGGGTCTGGCTGTCCTGAGCTCTCCCTGCCTGGCCATGCTGATGAACATGCTCTTCCCAAGGAGCAGAGTCGGCGGGAAGAGGCAGTGGACCCACCCAGGGCGTGAAGATGCTTCTCAGAGTGAGGCCTGGGAACCGGCTTTTGGCCCCAGGGCCAAGCAGTATGAACTGACAAAGCACGGAGGGTCCACCTGTGTGCACAGCCGAGCTGCAAACTCAAGGTTGTCACATGAGAGCTCTACCCACTGCCTCAAGGGAGAAAACGGCTTGGCTCTAGGAGTCAGGCCTGCGGTGGGGCCCAGGCAGCCCTCACTGGCTGAGACCCTTGCAGTGTTCTCGATGCTCAAGCCTTGTCCGCTTCCCTCGGGGCAGGGTGTCACCTCGGCAGTTGGTGTTTGCGGCCGGGCCGCTCTGTGTGTTGTGGGAGGTTGAGCAGCATCCTTGGCCCCAACGATGGATGGCAGTCCCTCCCACCTGTCAGCCAACAGGCCCCAGAAGGTCAGGTGTCCCCCAGGCCACTGGGCACTAGTGGGTTGTTAACCTGTACTTCCCATGCGACAAATGGTGCTAAGCATTGGGGACATGGCAGTGAACAATGACAGCTCTTCCCCAACATGGGCCACACATATCACGTCCCGGAATATGTGCTCTTGTGGCCGCCCCTGATCAGATACATCAGGAGACAGTGGACTCCCAGGTGCAGGGAGGGTCAGGGCTGAGGTGGAGGTGGGCAGGGGCAGTCGTGTGCTGCTTGTCTCCGGTGACACCTGGCCCAGCACCTGGTGGGTGAGGAGAGGCAAGTGAGATGCTGTGTCCTCAGTTGTCCTCCTCTCCACCTGGGAGGCACGTAATTCCCAGAAACCTCAGCAGGGGCTGACTCTGCACTGGCCAGAGCCAGCCCTATGCCACCCAGGAACCAACTGTGGCCCAAGGAAAGGGGTTTCCGTGAGGCTTGAGTCTGTCATGGCTCCCCTGCAGTTCTGGGGCTACCTTCCCTGGGCACGTTCCACCCAGTTCCTGAGCAAAGCAAAGAGGCAGTGGCCACTGGGTCACCATCTACCATGAAGTCGGATTGCTCCCATGGGTTGGGTGGGTGTGAAGCTCGGCGTCACCAGGGAGCTGTCGGGAGAGATGCTCCCCCCAGTTCCCGCCTGCTGAGCTGTGGCTTTTGGGGAGGGGGTTTGAGCATTTGTAGTTTCCAAGGCCCCCAGAGCAGCTGTCCTGTGGCCGTTATCTGCCACCACCGCACTAAACAAAGCACCTCCGTTTCAACATCTCTGGGGAAGAGGATACACTTCAGGGAAACGCACAATTTTACACGCCCAGCTAGCAGTCCTTTGCCCTTTAGTGAGAAAGGGTTGAGCTGTCCTTTTTCCTTCCTTTTAAAAAGCATTTGGGCTGGGAGCGGTGCCTCACGCCTGTAATCCCAGCATTTTGGGAGGCCGAGGGAGGGGGATCACTTGAGGTCAGGAATTTGAGACCAGCCTGGCCAACATGGTGAAGCTGTGTCTCTACCAAAAAATACAAAAATTAGCCGGGTGTGGTGGCGCACGCCTGTAATCCCAGCTACTTGGGAGACTGAGGTGGGAGAAATGCTTGAACCTAAGAGGCAGAGGTTGCGGTCAGCTGAGATTGCGCCACTGCACTCCAGAATGGGTGACAGTGGGATATCCTGTCTCTAAAGAAAAAAAAAAAGCGAGATGTGTTTCCCCCACCCCCCAAGGACCAGTGTTTGCCCGTCTGTGGGTAGCGGCACTGCACTGACAATGTGGGACTTTGGCCCGATGCCCTGAGATCCATCCACGGTGTGACTGCAGAGCAGGATTCACAGGGTGGAGGCGCCACAATGGATCTGTGTCCCCAGAAAGAATATTTGCAGTTTCCAGTTGGACACTTTATGAATAAAATCACTATAAACATCTGTGTGATTTTTTCTGTGGACATAAGTTTTCATTCCTTTAAATACTTAAAAGTGGGACTGCTGTGTCACATGGTAAGCACATGATGCATCAGAGAAACTGCCACATTTTCCAGAGCAGACGGAGTCCCCTTGTGCCACATCGTCGCCATCCCTTACGATGTACTCAGTATTCTTTTTTTTTTTTTTTTTGAGACAGAGTCTTGCTCTGTCGCCCAGGCTGGAGTGCAGTGGCATGATCTCGGCTCACTGCAACCTCTGCCTCCCAGAGTCAAGTGATTCTCTTGCCTCAGCCTCCCAATTAGCTGGGATTACAGGCATACGCCACCATGCCCAGCTAATTTTTTGTAGTTTTAGTAGAGACAGGGTTTCACCATGTTGGGGGTTTCACCATGTTGGTCAGGCTGGTCTTGAACTCCTGATCTCGTGATCCGCCCACCTTGGCCTCCTAAAGTGTTGGGATTACAGGCGTGAGCCACCGCGCCTGGCCCTCAGTGTTCTTTATTTGAGCCATTCTGAGAGATGCGTGGTGAAAACTCATTTTGAGTTTAGTATGCACTTCCCTAGGGACTAAAAAAGTTCAGCCTCTCTCAGTGTGCTCAGCTGCCGTTCATGTTTGGCAGCATGTCTGTTCAAAACTTCTGCACAGTGTGCTTGTAGTCCCAGCTACTCGGGAGGCTGAGGTGAGAGGATCTCTTGAACCCAGGAGTTCCAGGCTGCAGTGAGCCATGATTGCATCACTGCGCTCCAGCCTGGGTGACACAGTGAGACACTCACAAAACGAAACAAACCTACAAAAACCCAAAAACCCCCAAGACTTTTAGCACATTCCTTGATAGAAAATTTGAATTAGGGGAGGCAAAGGGAGACTGAAGACACAAGGAGTTGGAGGGTGAAAGGGAAAAGTGCAGGGACAGTGGGGAGCTTGGGAGACTCAGGACAAGCCCCAGCACGCGTGAGCAGCTTGGGGGAGCTGGAAACTGACGGCAATTCTGCAGAGAGTACAGGAGCTTTTCCCGAAATTCACAACAGCCCAATAAATCCTTCTTGCCTCTCAAGTGTCCCTAGGAGCACAGTTTGGGTACTAAGAAAAAAGTCCGTTAGTGAGTTTCACTTGCCCACGACAGGGAATTTTTAAAGTGTCCTCATCTGTAAGATGGTGACAGTAACCTGCCTCATAGGTTACTGTAGGAGTAAATGAGTTAAATACAGAGAGCATCCAGACTAGTACCTGGCACATAAGTAACTTTCACAGTATTAACTACCATCACCATCATCATCATCACAACCATAATCGCCCCCATCATCGTCATCACTATCATCCCCATCACCACCATCACATGCGTAATATGTTTTAACCCTTGTTATTTGTTCGGAATTTTTAAGAGTGGCGCATACCACCATCATCACTATCATCCCCATCACCACCATCACATCACTATCATCCCCATCACCACCATCATCACTATCCTGATCAACACCATCACCATCATCACCACCACCATCCCATCCCACCATCACATCACTATCATCCCCATCACCACCATCATCACTATCACGATCAACACCATCACCATCATCACCACCACCATCCCATCACCACCACCACCACCACCATCATCTGAAAACTCTAAACCTGCTTTGCCCAAAGTCTACTCTTGGTGACACACCCGTTGTGTGAACCTTAAATAGGGAGCTCAGTCAAGGTCTCCTTGAGAAGATGACACAGTAGAGACCTACATGCAGTGAGGCAGCCCTGAGACACTTGGGGAAGAGCAATTCAGGCAGAGGGAGCAGCAGGTGCAAGGCCATGGTGGTGTAAGAAAGCAGCACTGGGCATCGAGGCTGGAACAAGGAGGAGGAAGGCAGTAGGAAATGAGGGCAGAGCAGGAACCAGGGCGAGGGTGCATCAGTGTGTGGGTGTGTGATGTGGGAGCATGCATGTGTGTGCACACATTTGTTTGGGTGCATGTGTGTGCTGTTATTAGCTAGACACAGATCTCACAGTGCTCTGTGAGTCACAGCAAGGACTGTGGCTGTCTCTGGGCCCCACAGGAGCCCCTGGAGGCTCCACATTGAGAATGGTCTTCAGGCAAGGACGGTGGAGGTGGGAGACGCCCACTGAGAAGGCTGCTGCATGCATTCTGGTCTGAACCCAAGTGGGGTCGTGAGAGTCTTGGGAAGTGACGAACTCTGGGTGGAGTTGGGGACTCCAGTAATTTCAGAGACAGTGCTAAGATAGCGGGTCCTTGGTGCCATGTGATGGGGTGGGAGGATGACATGTAACAGAGGCATCTGGAAATTAGCAAACTCAGAGTGTGGCTGTTCTGCGTGGCTGTGCCCCTTTTCATGCTGCTGTGGTAACAGCAAAGAGGAGGATGATGACGCTGTGTCTGCCTCAGCAGACGGCACAAAGATGAAGTAAGGGAAGACCCAGATGGCCCTTGGAAGACGTGTAAACTGTCACGATTGGAGAGACTGAGAATAAGGGGAGATGATGAAGCCAGCAACCCCTAGAGGAACGGATAAGGGTTCCTCTAGGAACCAGCAGAGGCACCCAGAACAAGGTCTGTAGCGGGCATCGGTCACATGACACAGATAATTAAGGGGCGGTGAACACAAAACGCAGGCAGACACAAGTCAGAGGCACCTGGGTGATCTTGACCTCATCACTCTGGGATCCAGCCTGGGAAGGGACTATTCAAAGAGACCCCAAAAGTGTCTCCAGTGAAAGGCCTGAGACTTTTATTATTTTCATTTCTTTCTTTTTTTTTTTTTTGAGACAAGAGTCTCGCTCTGTTGCCCAGGCTGGAGTGCAATGTCATGATCTTGGCTCACTGCATCCTCTGTCTTCTGGGTTCAAGTGATTCTCGTGCCTCAGACACCAAGTAGCTGGGATTATAGATGCGTGCCACCATGCTGGCTAATTTTTAAATTTTTAGTAGAGACAGGGTTTCACCATGTTGGCCAGGCTGGTGTCAAACACCTGACTTCAAGTGATCCACCTGCCTCGGCCTCCCAAAGTGCTGGGATTACAGGCGTGAGCCACCACAGCCAGCCAAGACCTAAGATTTTTTTAAAATTACAGTTCTTATTTAGGTTTCATTTCATTTTACTTTTTTGAGATGGAGTCATGCTCCGTCGCCCAGGCTGGAGTACAGTGGTGCGATCTGGGCGTACTGCAACCTCCGCCTCCCAGATTCAAGCGATTCTCCTGCCTTGGCCTTCTAAGTAGCTGGGATTACAGGCGTGTGTCACCACACCCAGCCTAGGTTTCAGTTTAAAAACCACATTTTTACTTTATCCCCAAGACTTGAGTTTGTAGAACTCCTTTTCTATGCCTGCCATGGGTTGAATTAGGCAAGATTATCCTGGAATAACAAGCCAACCTGAAGGAAAATGACAAACTGTCAGTTCTTTTCTGGTTTGGCAGTGCTGTGTGCGTCTGTGGAAACGTCTGCAAAGCTAGAGAGAGAGAAATGTGCAAATGTGTGGAAGTGGCATCCTCCCCCGTCAAACCTCTAGGGGAAGCACTGTGCAAGGTCTGGTGGACCTGTCCCAGGCCCTGCTTTGCACACTGACACCGTGTGGCTGTGTGGCTCTGCATGGGGGCTGGGGCAGCACTGAGGACGGCGCTGTTCCTGGAGGATGTGTCTGTCTTCCTTGCTCCTCGTCTACCCACAGGGCCTTAGGGGCTGAAAACTCACTTTTTTTTTCCCCTAAAGGATGTGATGCTTTTTTTTTTTTTTAGACTGAGTCTTGCTGTATTGCCCAGGCTGGAGTACAATGGTGTGGTCTCAGCTCACTGCAACCTCTGCTTCATGGGTTCAAGTGATTCTCCTGCCTCAGCCTCCCAAGTAGCTGGGATTACAGGCATACAGGTACCTGCCACCACACCCAGCTCATTTTTGTTATTTTTAGTAGAGACAGGGTTTCACCACGTTGGCCAGGCTGATCTCAAACTCCTGACCTCAAGTGATCTGCCTGCCTTGGCCTCCTAAAGTGCTGGGATTACCGGCTTTAGTCACTGTGCCTGGCCGAGGATGTGATGCTGTCTTGGCGACCAGTTGTATGGTACACAGAGAGGTGTCCCCACTCTGTCCCCCACCCCTGGCCTCTTCAAATCCTGACAGAGGGTCAATGACAGCTCTTACCTGTGGGATTAAGCCTTCATTTTCAGTGGATGACGAATCCTTTTCCCTCTCCACGGGAGCTTTACATTTCTAAGAAATCTCAAGTCGGAAAGTAAGCGTCTGGAAGGGAATGTGCCACCTGCCGCCCTCCTGGTGTTCTGGAAACCTCAGCAGGGCCACTCCTGCTCTCCTTCCTGCTCATTTCCCGGCATCCACACAGGGTGTTTTCTTCTAAAGATCTTGCTAGCACTTGCTGAGCCTCATGCTGCTGCAGCCAGCCAGTGACTCTTGCATCAGTGACTGGCACACATCTCCCTCTGCCCACCAGGTCTCGGAGGGTCACTGCTCTCAGCTCTGAACCAGCCCTGGCTCTGGTCGCTGGTGTGTGGCACAGATGCAGGTGACATGGAGCTTCGTAGCAGTCAGAACAAGCCCTTCCATGCAGCAGCATCATGGTCAGAGGCTGTCTTTGTCTGGGTTCCCCTAAGGGGGGGACAGACCTTGAGATGAGGATCTGCAAGTGGTTTATTGGGCAGATGATCCGGAAACACAGGTGGTGGGTGGGGAGGTGGGATGGGAAGACAGGAGGCGGAACAATAGGCATGACCAAGAAGGTCAGGACATAGGCGGCTGGAGCCGTCCTGTGGGGGATGCCAGGAGCCAGTGCAGAACACGTCCTGAAGTTGTCCTGACTGCAGAGTGGAGTGGCTGGAACATTCACCCCACCCTGTCACTGCTGAGTGCTGTCCCCACACATGGGTCAAGCAACTCTCGTAGCCGGAAAGAGCCATTAGCAGGTGAAAGTGAGGCTGTTTGCCTCAGTGGTCCACTGCTTCTCTGCCCTGTCTAGCCAGGTTGATGGTCCCCTCTGGTCTGGGGTAGCTCCTGCTGCTCAGGTGTCAGGCCTCTCTGCAGGGCCACTGCTAGTCCAGGGTGCTCCTGTGTAAACTCACACATGGTGCTCCTTTGGAGCAGGCTAAGGCCCAGGCTGGGGTGCATGACTGGGTGAGCTGAGCATGGGGGAAATGCAAGCCTCACTTGGGTTCTTGGCAAGGGACCCTTGATTGGTGAAGAAACCACACAACTGTGCCCAGGAGCCCTGCTTCTGTCTGGGTATAGGCTGCCCGGGGAGGTGTGATCTGGGAGGAACCTGCAACTCTCTCCCTGGAATCAAGGAGGTTCTGTAGGCATGACTTGGGTCCCCATTACCTTGGGTTCACAGAGATCTCATTCTGTTCCTCTTTCCCTCTACTTGGGGGTTTTGGAAACAAAAGCCTAGAACAGGCAGTGGTAGTGGCCAAACTTCCAGTCTGAAGCACACTCACGTCACAAACTGACGTGTGCTGGACTCTGTGTCTGGCCTTTTTTTTTTTTTTTCTTGAGACAAGGTCTGGCCCTGTCACCCAGGCTGGACGGAATCATGACTCATTGCATCCTCAGCCCCCGGGCTTAACTGATCCTCCCACCTCAACTTCCCAAGTAGCTGGGACCACAAGCATGTGCCACCATGCCTAATTTTTACATTTTTTGCAGAGACAAGGTCTCACTACGTTGCCAAGGCTGGTCTCGAACTCCTGGGCTCAAGTGATCTTCCCACCTTGGCCTCCCAAAGTGCTGGGATTACAGATGTGAGCTACCATGCCAGTCCCTGGTTTTTAAGCACTTCTCATGCTCTTTCATGTCTGATCTTCTCAAACTTGGTTCTATGGTTATCATTATTCTACACACAAAACTGAAGCTCAGAAAAGTTAGGCAACTTGTCTGATACCTGTCTCTGGTAAGAGGCAGAGCAAGGATTGGGATCTAGGCCTTGTTACTCAGAACACAGGGCAGCGTGGCTGGAGTTTCCTTCACATCCTCAGCCTGTGTCTGGATTTGCTTTCCTGGGTTTGAACGTCACACACGTGGAATTTTCTGTACATTCTGGGGTCTGACTTCATTGTGCGCTTCATCCACATTGTTGTGGGTTGTGGTTGTGTGCCCTTTTCCATTGTTGCACAAAATCTCCTCTGTGAACATGCCACACTTCCTTTTTAAAATCTTTTCTCCTATGGATGGACATCGGGGTCATTTCCAGTTTGGGGCCATCAGGAGGAAAGCTGCTGTGGGTAGTTTTGTTAATGTCTTCTGGTACACATAAGCTCTCATTTCTCTTGGGTGAGGTGAGGAATTAGTTGGTCATCGGATATTCATATGTTTAGGTTTTGTAAATACTGCCAGTTTGCCAATGTGGTTGTATCAATTTTATGAGCAATGTATGAGGGTTCCAGCTGCGACATCCTTGACAAACTAGGTATCGTCAGTCCTTTTAATTTTAGCCATTCTTGGGTGGGTGAGAGCAGTGAAGAGCCATTCTTGACATGGAATGACAAGACCTAGTGTGCCAGAGGTGAAGGCCTGAGCGTCCAGGGGAGCATGAGCCTGTCTTCTATGCTCTGCTGTGCTACAGCAATGTTTCAGTGTGCTCAGGAGGAAAACAGAGACAGCAGAGAAGCCGAGTGCTCCAAAGTGGGCAGAAATGGGACAAGCATAAATAAAGTGCTAGGCTAATAGTGAGACTCTTGGATAATTTTGTCATTAGCTACAAAGAGGGCAGTGACAACATGATTTACACACACACACACACGCACACGGGGTGGGGTATCTGCAATACTAAGCAGCTAGTATGGTAGGGGCACTGCCTAATCAGTATGGATGCTGGCCAGGAGAGGATGTGTGTATGTGCTGGCTGGAAACTCAGTCCTGCTCATAGGTCATGATCTTAATGATTAAATAAGCCAAGAAATCCCAGAGGGCAGTGCCCAGGAGCACCCTGTTTGCTCTGTGGCTAGAACGCAGCACACTGAAGTATCGCCCATCAGGGTTAGAGGTGCTCGTGATGGTTTGGGCAAATACAATTATTAATCCAGAGTATCAGAGTCTGCATGAAAATACTGAAAAGTGAGGGTATACCCAGCCGTTTGCAAGAAATACAAATTGGAACTGGCAATAACTTAAGATAATTAGAGAGGCAGAGAGCACTGGGTTTTACTAAAATATTAAGACATTAATATTTTATGCGTCCTGTCTCCATGTCAGCAACTGCGCAAAGTACACGCGTTCAAGCGAAAAGAGCGGGTGGGGTGGGAAGGCTAATGGCCAGCCAGAGCTTCGGCGCTTGCACGCCCAGGCCACCGGGTGACGACTGCTTCCAATTCCGCGGCCTTTAAACCCCAGGTTGTTTTGAAAACAAAAAACGAAACAAAAAAAACCCTATTTCTCTAAAAGTCACGATTCGAGCCCCACCTGAGGACGCAGCGATCCAGCGCCAACTCCTGTATCTATAAAGGAGTGACTTTACCAGAAGCGCCTATGCAAGACGCAGGGCCCCGCGCGGGCTGCTCCCACCTTTCTCTCCTTGCAGGGTACCGAGACCCTGGCTGGTGCGGCCGGTGGCCCCTCCGGCCCATCCGTCGGAAATGGTGAGTGGCTCCACGGCCCGGGGTCTGCAGAACCTACCCCAGCGGGAATAGCAGCCCTACACAGCCGCGCTCTGACCCGCTGACCCCGCGTCTCTGCGCGAGGGACCAATCAGCCGCCAGCTAAGTTCACATACCCAGAAGGCCATTTTTGATTGGCTGGGCGCGGGCCAATCAGCGGGACTGGCGGGCGCGCGGGGACTGTTGGGCTCCTCAGACGGTTTGATGTTGAGGTTTGGGTTGCTCTCGGGCTGGCTTCGGGCTGAGGCAGGAGGGAAAGGCGGGAGCTGGGGCGTCAGGGCCTGCGGACGATGTGTGTGTGAAAAGGCGCGTCAGCCATAAGAAGCCATACGCGTGCGAGCCGGTCCCCACTGCCCCCGCGGCGTTGTCACCATCATCATGAGGCCACTGGAGCAGCCTCGGGCGCTGCTGACGGGGATCCGGGCGCGGGGTGCGTCGGGCTCTGCAGGTTGGCACTCACACCCGGCGCGCAGGATGGCAGGCAAGTGCGTCCTGAATCCTGCCCGCGGGCACCCGACACCGCGTCTGTGAGTTCCCGCCCCGGCATTGCTGCATTACCTGTACGTAGGCAGAACTCTTGACCGCGACCCACAGGAACCTCACTTACATTGGCAGAAACACAAAAACGCAACTGATGGTTCCACATAACTGAAAATATCAGAAGTAGGCCTTCAGGCATGGATGTATCCAGGTACGCACTGACCATGGTCCTGGAAGGTTTCTCTCCATTTTTCAGCTTCCTTCCCTTTTACTGGCTTCCGTGTGGAGGCAAGATGATCACCAGGACCTCCTGAGGTTTACATGTTATCAGATTATCAACCTCAACAGAAAGGAGTTTCTTTTTTCCCCAGCCTTCCAGGCTGGGCAGTGGTGAGTTGGGCCCACCTGCACTACCTGAGATGGGTGTGGGCCCCCTCCCCTACCAGGAATATAGCAGTGCTGTCTTTACCAGAAGGGGCCTTGGATGCTGTGGAGGGCAATGCCCCTATCCTCTGTTTTCAAGCATTAGCTGGGAGAGTTGATGCTTGAATCTATTACTTTAACAAAAAACAGCACTAATAATAATGGTTATTATGACAATGAAACATGAAAGCACTTGTATCACTCTTACGGTTTCCACAGTACAAAACACTTTGACCCACCACTGTCAGGGAAGCAGGGCTTTGCACCCACTGGAGACGCTTTATCAGTCAGCATTCAAGCAGTTTGTTGTGGGGTGGAACAGGGAAGAGTAACACAGGCTGTGTAACCCCAAATGCTTTGTCATCCCAGAGACAAAGCGCCTGGGTTTTTATAGTGGAAGGAGGTTCGTTAATGGACACTTTGACGATATTTTCCTTCAGTATTTCAGTAAGTTGGGGATGTCTGACAAACCATCACAGGTGATGTGATTGGCAGCTCCATGTCTAGGAAAGTTCTCACTAGGTTGGAATGCTCCCATCTTTTCTGATGGTCCAAGCACAAGTTTAGCTGGAGTCAGCTTGAAGTTGGTTGCCTTGGGAATGCGAGATTCCACGAGAGCCAGCCCCCAGGATCCCCTAGACATTAACGCGTGAGCAAGCACACACCTGCTTCTGATGTCACCCTCTCACTCTTCTTGGGCTCAGAGGATCCTCCCGTGTCCCCGCCACCCCTGGGCTTTATTGTTAAGAGTCAGTTCTGAGAAGGCAGGCCCAGGCCTGTGCCCTAGCATCCCTGCCCCCTAGTTTACACAAACCCTAAGCTTTTCTGTTCTTCTTTTCTAGGAATAGCCCATTTCAAACCTACAAGAAAGAAGTGTGCCTCCCAGGTCATTCGGTAAGGAAAGCAAATCCTCAGCCACTTGACCCTGACCCCAACATGCCCTTGTGGGGTGAGGAGAGCAGAGAATGTGGGTCCAGAAGCTGCATCCCATGAGAGAATGCTACAAACACAAAAGTGTGGGTGCAGGAGCTATCCCTGGGCCTCCAGAACACCTGCCAGGCTGTCACAACACCTCAGAGTTCAGCAGGCCACCTAATGTACCTGCTCTGGGCATCAGCTTCTCCGTCTGCCCCTGGAGGTGATGGCAGCCCCTCTCCTTCCTGCCTGAGGGTGTTGCGAAGGTCACACGGGATGGATGTGGAAGCTCTTGCAGACCAGAGTGAGACAGATGGCCCTAAGGGCAGTGCTCATGTGCCCATAAGCTCTAAAGCTGCTTGTACATCCCCATTTTCAGAGGGGACCATGAGACTTGCTCATTGTAGCATGGCAGTAAATGGCCGAGAATCCCGGTGCACCTGGTTTGCAAGCTCTGGCAGATCCCCCTCCAAATGACCTTGGAGGTCTCAGGGCAAGCCATGGTAGCCTGCTTCTTTCCAAGCTGCAGTAGGAGCCAGGGACCCTGCCCCCGGACACCATCTTCCTGAGCACAGATCTACTGTGCCTGAGAGCCTCCTGTATCCCTGCAAATGCAGCATCAAACTCAGTTCTGTCGTTTCTGGATCTTACTCAGATGCACCCTGGCCCCTGGGCCGTCTGCTGTGAGTGCCAGACCAGATTCGGGGGCCGCCTACCTGTGCCCAGGGTGGAAGCAGCACTGCCTTACTGGGTCCCTCTGTCCCTGAGACCCCGAAAGCAGGTAGGTGACTTGAACCAGGAAGTCTTCACCCCGGGTCCAGGGTGAATGTCAGGGGACCAGTCACCCCTCAGAATTAGAAGTATTATATGAATGGATATTTTAACATTTCAAGAAGACAGTTTGAGATTATTTATTTATTTTCGTGTCAGATGGGTAGTGTGCTGACATCGTAGCAAGGCCTGAGGGAAGCACACCTCACACATGTGCATGAGTGCCCAGTTATCATACTTATGAACTTTAAAAGGATCTGTGATTTTTAAACAGTTTTTTCTAAAAACTAGACTTTTAGAGGTTTGATTGGCATATGATAAACTGCACGTGTGGAAAATGTACCATGTGGTAAGTCTTGCCATAGGTATTCCCCCCTGAACCCACCACCACCATCAAGATAATGAGCATTTACACAACCCTTAACCATGTCCGTGGGCTCCTTTTAACTTTACCCAACATTCTGTACCCTGACATCCCCAGACAAACACTGATCTGCTTTCTGTCACTGTAGATTAATTTGCATTTCTGAGAATTTTATATAAATGAAGTCATAGACTGTGTACTCTTTCGTCTGGCTTCTTTCACTTAGCATAATTATTTTGAGATTCTTCTACGTAATCATGGGCATCAATAGTCATTCTTTTTATTATTGAGTAATGCTGCATTATATGAATAGACCACGGTTTATTCATTCACCCAGAAGGACATTTGGGTTGTTTCTACTTCTTATGTGTTACACACAAAGCTGCTATGAACATTTGTGTACAAGGCTTTGTACTCACATATGCCTTCATTCTTCTTTGGTAAATACCAAGGAGTGGAATTCCTGAATCATATGGTAGTTGTATATTTAACTTTAAAAAAGAAGTCTGTTGACTGTTTTCCACCATTTTACATTTCTACCAGCAGTATCTAAAGTTCCAATTCCTCCACATTGTCATCAACACTTGGTTTGGCTGATCTTTTTAATTTGAGCCGTCTTAATAGGTGTCTATCTCATTATAGTTTTCATTTGTATACCTGTCATAATTGGTGATGTCAAGGATCTCTTCATGTGCTTTTGATATCTGATGTCTTACTCGATGAAGCATCTGTTTAATTATTTTGCCCCTTTATAAGAATTGCTTTTTTAAATTACTGAGTTTTGATAGTTCTTTATATATTCTAGATGCAAATTATTGATCTCAGATTCAATTTTTAAATATCTTTCCATGTCTTTCGCCCGTCTTTTTTTTTTTTTTTTTCCTGAGACTGGGTCTCACTCTGTTGCCCAGAATGGAGTGCACAATCTTGGCTCACTACAAACTTGAACTCCCCAGCTCAAGCAATCCTCCCGCCTCAGCCCTTCAAGTAACTGGAACCACAGGTGTGCACCACCATACAAGGCTAATTTTGTTTATTTTTTATGGAGATAAGGTCTCACTTTGTTGCCCTGGCTGGTCTCAAACTCCTGGGCTCAAGTGATCCACCTGTGTCGGCCTCCCAGTGTGCTGGGATCAGGGTGCGAGCCACCATGCCTGACCTGGCTTGTCTTTTTATTCTCTTATCAGTATCTTTCAGAGAGAGAAGTTTTACCTTTTGGTGAAGTTCAGTTTATCAATTCCATGTTTTCTGGATCTTGCCTAGGTGTGCCTATCCCCAGCACAGCAGTGGATCATGCTTCAGGTGTCGTAGCTAACAGATCTTTGCTGAGCCAGAGGTCAGAAAAGGTTTTTTCTGATGTTTCCTTTTAGAAGTTTTATAATTTTATGTTTATTTCTGTGATCCATTTTGAGTTAATTTTTGTATATAGTGTGAGGTATGGATTGAATTTTTTTTTTTGGAGATAGAGTCTTGCTGTTTTGCCCAGGCTGGAGTGCAGGGGCATGATCTTGGTCATTCTTTTTATTACTGAGTGATGCTGCATTATATGAATAGATCACAGTTTATTCACTCACCCAGAAGGACATTTGGGTTGTTTCTACTTCTACCTCCACCTCCCAGATTCAAGCGATTCTTCTGCCTCAGCCTCCCAAGTAGCTGGGACTACAAGCACACACCACCATGCCTGGCTAATTTTTTGTATTTTTAGTAGAGACAGGGTTTCACCATGTTGGCCAGGCTGATCTTGAACTCTTGATCTCAGGTGATCCGCCCACCTCAGCCTCCCAAAGTGCTGGGATTACAGGCATGAGCCACCGTGCCCAGCCTTGAATTGGGTTTGTTTGCATATGACAGTCTAATTTTTCTAGCACCATCTATTGTAAGGGCTGTATTTTCTCTACTGACCCGCCTTTATACCTTTGTCAAAGATTAGTTGTTGCTGTAGTTTAGATGTTTGTCCCCTCAAACCTCATGATAAAATTTGATCTCCAGTGTTGGAGCTAGGGATCCCCAGTGTTGGAGGTATTTGGGTCATGGGGGGCAGGTCCCTCCTGGATGGATTGGTGCTGTCCTTATGGTAGTGACTCAGCTCTCTCTACTAGTTCCCAAGAGAGCTGGTTGTTAAAAAGAGCCTGGCATCTCCTCCCCTTTTTCTGGCTTCCTCTCTCGTATGTGATCTCAACATATGTGGGCTCCCCTTCACCTTCCACCATGAGAGGAAGCAGACTCCCAATCTTGAACTTTCCAGCCATCAGAATCGTGAACCAGATAAACCTCTTTTTTTTTTTTTTGAGACAGAGTCTTGCTCTGTCGTCCACACTGGAGTGCAGTGGCATGATTGATTTCAGCTCACTGCAACCTCTGCCTCCCAGGTTCAAGTGATTCCCCTGCCTCCTACCTCAGACCCCTAAGTAGTTGGGATTACAGGCACTCGCCACCATGCCCGGCTAATTTTAATATTTTTGGTAGAGATGGGGTTTTACCATGTTGGCCAGGCTAGTCTCAAACTTCTGACTTCAAGTGATCCACCTGCCTTGGCCTCCCAAAGTGCTGGGATTACAGGCATGAACCACCACCACACCTGGCCAAGCCTCTTTTCTTAATAAAATACACTGCCTCAGCTATTCCTTTATAGCCACACAAGTGGACTAAGACAGTTGTTCATATATGTATGAATTTATTTGTGAACCCTCTTCTGATCTAATTGTCTATCTTTATGCTAATACTACACTGTCTTGATTATTGTGTCTTGACTTTATAATGTCTGGAAGTCAAGTAGGGCTCATTTTCAAACTTTGTTTTTCAGAGTTGGCTATATATATATATTTTTTGCATTTCCATGTGAATTTTACAATCAGTTTGTCAATTTCTACAAAAGCACCCTACTGGGATTTTCGTTGGGACTGTATGGGCTTTGTAGATCAGTTTGAAGAGAATTGTCTTTTGAAAAATATTGAGTCTTTTGACCCATAAACATGATACATTTCTACATTTATTTAGGTTTTCTTTAATATTTCCCATAAATATTTTGCAACTTTTATTATATAGGCTTTATACATTTTTTTTGTCAGATTTACCCGTAAGTATTTCATAATTTTGATGACATTGTTTTTGAATTTCAATGTATGACTTTGCATTGCTGGTATTTAGAAGTACAACTGATTTTTGTCTGTTGTTCTTGTATTCTACAATATTGCTAAGCCTATTTATTCTAGTAGCTCTTTTTGTGGATTCCATCAGATATTCTACAGAGATGATTGTGTCATCTGCAAGTAGAGATGGCTTTCTTTCTCCCTTTTCGATTTGGAGACTTTTATTTTTCTTGCTTGATACGCTGGCTAGACCTTTCACTACAGTGTTGAATAGAGCAGTGAGGAGACATTCTTATCCTGCTTATGAGGGATGGCATTCAGTTTTTCTTTTTCTGTTCTTTTCTTTTTTTTTTTTTTCTGAGATGGAGTCTCACTCTGCCGCCCAGGCTGGAGTGCAGTGGCATGATTTTGGCTCACTACAACCTCCGTCTCCCAGGTTCAAGTGATTATCTTGCCTTAGTCTCCCGGGTAGCTGAGATTACAGATGCCTGCCACCACTCCCGGCTAATTTTTGTATTTTTAGTAGAGATGGGGTTTCACCATATTGACCAGTCTGGTCTCGAACTCCTGACCTTAAGTGATCCACCTGCCTTGGCCTCCCAAAATGCTGGGACTACTGACATGAGCCACTGCTCCCGGCCTTCCCCCCGATTTCTGATAGCCCCTACCACTACGTGCAGGGCTGTAACTCCTCCTCCTGCTGTAACCTCCTCCTCATCCTGTTGCCCAAACCATATGCCTGGTCGAACCCGCAGCTGAGAGGTGTGACCACCCTGTCTTTCTGCCGGAGAGGCTGCAGGGTCACAGTGCCAAGGGTGGGCTGTAGGGAGGGTGAGGAACTGAGGCAAGAGTGTCATTTGCTATAATTCACATACATACGATTGCGTGCACATTCCTTTTTGAAAAATGCAAATGGTAGTGTACTGAACTCACAGTGCTGCATTTTCCTCACTTCATATCCTGTCTCAGAGTTTATTCCATGTCAGTCCAGACAGCTCTGTTCCATTCTTCCCAAGGCTGCCTATACCCTATTGCCCGATGTCTGTCATTTATTGTCTCTTACTGAAAGACATTCAGGCTGTCCAGTCACTCCTGATAATGGTGCAGCGAATATTTCTGTACATAGTAACTTTGCAGATGTGAAAGCATCCTCATAGGAAACATTCCTGCAAGTGGAATTGCCGCATCAAAGGCTGTCTATTTTAGAACCTGATAGACTTTGTTAAGATGCCAGCAGAGCCCTCTTTATAGCTGAGAGCACTGAGGCACAGGGATGCTAAGTGTCGTGCCCAAGGACCCCAGCTGGAGACCACCAGGCCAGGATAGAGCCAGGTCTTCCAATACCAACCTGCGTGCTCTGCCAGGGCACAGGTGCAGATGAGGGGTAGGGAATCCAGGTGAGCCACGGAGGTCTTGTGTCTCCCAACAGTGGGCATGTTGTAGACAGTAGACCACAGTCCCTTATCTGGAGTGGTTGGGTGTGCTTGTGGGCGGAAACAGCTCTCCAGGGCCTGCCCTCATACCAAGACCGAGCCAGGAGTCTTCTGGGGAATG